TTCCCAACAGCAGTGATGGGCTAACAGGGACTAGTTTTACTTTCCTTCCTGAAACAATTTAAAAAAAAAGACAAAATATATGAAACAATGGTTTTCAGAAATTGGACATCAGGCAGTGCACGGCAGTGATCCCTGAGAGACAGGAATTAAATAAGCTGAGTTATGTGATTGCTTGAGCTTTCTGCCTAGAAAACATTTCCAGGCCTTAACTTAGGTTTGGAAAACGCAGAAGGAGCCCAGTGGTCTCCCTGAGTTGAGCAGATGGAATTAGGAGTTTGAGGAGACTAAGATGGCAAGAGTTAAAGGGCGGAGGACCAGGGAAGGGAGAGTTACATAGAGAAGAGAGCTCTGGAGGTCTGCAGAGGGTCTCTCCTGTCTTCAGGATTTATGATAGCAATCCTGGCGACTCACACAGAATCTACAATCTTTTTTGTTACCACCAGCCAGAGTAGGCAAACTTCATAATTCATTAGATATCATAGAGTTCTCAGAAGGGTAATGTCTCACTGAAAGAGGAAAATTAGTCCTGCTTAACAAAGTATAAAAGCAAGCTCTGAAAGCAACCTAATATATGTATCATTGGAGACCTGAAGGAGAGCCTGGTGGAAGAGAGAGCAAAATAAATACCAGAAGAAATAATGACTGGAAGTTTTCCAAGTTTGATGAAAACTGTAAATAATAGATAAGAAGCTTGAGAAGGAGAGGGAGAAGGAAGGAAGGAAAAATTAAGAAAACTATACCAACGTACATCATAATCAAATTGCTTAAAGCCAGTGATAAAGAGAAAGTATTAAAGTATCCAGAGAGAAGAAGAAAAACCACATGTACGAAGGAAAGAAGATAAGGATGTTGACAGATGGCTAGTCTGAAACAGTGCAAGCCAAAACATTTTTAAAATATTAAAAGAAGGGAGAAAACAGTCCTGAAAATTTAACTTGATACTTCCTGGAGGTATAATTTGCAGTCACATTTGACATGTGTCTGAAAGTAGAAACTTGGATGGGCTGTGGTTTGATGATACAGAATTTTTAATCTATTTTTATATGGCATTTTAAATGTTAAAGTGCTTTTATATGGGAGAAAACTATTTTCACTCATTTTTGAAATAGCTAGGGTGGGTGATTTTACACATGAAAAGCTGAGATACATAAGTAACGTGACTTTCACAATTTCATAAGATCCAGGAATATAATCAGGTTTCCTGACTTCCTATTCAGGACTCATATAATCTAGATGGTCTCCTCATTGTTAGCTGTGTATTGCTCAGAAATATTTCTTAAACTTAGAGACCGTCAGAATATATAAAATGTGTGGAATGCTATGAACATGGTAATAGATAATACAGTATTTAGCAATTCTTTTGTAACTTGACATTTGGAGTAATATATAAAGAAAATAAATTGAAAATTTGATTAAATCCCAAGACCCAAATAGAAAATAGGAAAAATGAGAGTACATAAAAGTATATTAGACCCAGTATAAAAAGATGTTACAGTATGTAAACTTTAAGTAAATGAGCAAAAGTGGAAAAATTGCTATAGTTGTAAAAAACCTTTTAATCAAAATAATATTTCTGATTTTTTTTTTTTTTTTTTAAGGAGAGAAGTTTTATTTTTCTTAATTAAATTTGAATAGAGAACCTTTTAATAATTTGGTTCAAATTGAAGTGTGGCAGAAATTAGTTGGGAAGAAACTGTATTTTCCTCTTGTATTTATACTGCACATGTAGTACATGAATAAAATAATTAAATACTACCTTGTCATATTTCATTGCATCCAATACAGCACATTGGTTTTGACCCATTACTGGCAGCCACTTGGAATGAATATGGTCCATTGTCCACAGGTCTTTTCAACCTTTCCTATTAAAGAGAGATTTGGAGAGCTGGCTCTTTTAAGTAAGTCTTTGGAATAGAATTGGAATTGAAAAGTTAGATCTTGAAAGGTGGGCAAGATTTAAATAGGACAAGGAAGAATGTTTCCAGTTACAAATAGGAGCCCTGACATGTCTTGTGGGAACAGAGAGAGTGGTTCATGTTGGAAAGAAGTAAGAAATAATGGAGAGAAGTTACGGTAGGGCTTGATTACTGACGGCCTTTAAAAACAAATGGGATTTGTCCATTTAACTTAGATTGTTGAATTTGTTGCCATATAATTGTTCATAATATTTGTTAACAATCCTTTATATTTCTGTGGTGTCAGTTATTATTTCTCCTCTTCCATTTCTGATTTGGTGTATTTGGGTTCTCTCTCTCTGTTTTTTGGTGAGTCTAGCTAAGGGTCCATCAATCTTGTCTAGCTAAGGGTCCATCAATCTTGTTTATCTTTCAAAGAACCAGCTCTTTGTTTCATTGATCCTTTGAATTGTTTTTTGGTCTCCATGTCATTTATTTCTGCTCTGATCTTTACTATTTCCTTCCTTCTACTTGCTTTGGGGTTTTGTTTTTGTTTGCTTTCTAGTTCTTTAAGTTGTGAGGTTAGATAGTCTATCAGAAATTTTTCTTGTTTCTTGAGGTAGGCCTGTAGTGCTATGAACTTCCTTCTCAGAACTGCTTTCGCTGCATCCCATAGATTCTGTGTTGTTGTTTGTTCATTTTCATTGGTTTCCAAGAAGTTTTTAATTTCTTCCTTGATCTCCATGGTAACCCATTCATTGTTCAGTGACATGCTATTTAGCCTCCATGTTTTCAAATGTCTTTGCATGTTCTTGTTGCAATTGATTTCTAGTTTCATGCCATTGTGATCTGAGAAGATGCTTGATATGATTTCAATCTTCTTGAACTTGTAGAGATTTACTGTGTGTCCTATCGTGTAGTCTATCTTTGAGAATGTCCCATGTGCACTTGAGAAGAATGTGAATTCTGCAGTTTTGGGTGTAATTCTCTGTAGATACCTATGAAATCCATTTGATCTAGTGCTTCATTTAGAGTCTGTGTTTCCTTGTTAATTTTTGTCTAGATGATCTATCCTGTGATGTCAGTGGGGTGTTGAAATCCCCTGCTATGATTGTATTATTGTTGATTTCTCCTTTGAAGTCCTCCAGAAGATTTTTTTTTTTATATCCTCACCCAAGGACATTTTTTCATATTTTGTTCAGATAGAGTGGGAGGGAGGGAGGGAGGAGGGGAGGGAGAGAGAAAGAGAGAGAGAGAGAGAAAGAAACATCGACGTGAAAGGAACACATCGAGTGGTTGCCACCCGCACAACCCAACCAGGACTGGGGACAAACTGCAACCGAGGTACATGCCCTTGGCAGGAACCGAATCTGGGTCTCCCTGGACCACAGTCCGATGCTCTGATTGCTGAGCCAAATCGGCCAGGGCCAGAAGACTTTTAATATATGTTGGTGCTCCTATATTGGGTGCATATATGTTTACCAAGGTTATATCTTCCTGTTGGATAGATCCTTTCAATATTATGTCATGGCCTTCTTTGTCTCTAGTTATGGTCTTCATTTTGAAATCTACTTTATCAGACATGAGTATTGCTACCCCAGCTTTTTTTCCTTTCCATTTGCTTGGAAGATTTTTTTCCATCCCTTCACTTTCTACCTATGTGAGTCTTTTGTTTTGAGGTGGTTCTCTTGTAAACAACATATATGTGAGTCATGCTTTCTTATCCAGTCAGCTGCTCTGTGTCTTTTTATTGGAGCATTCAAACCATTCACATTTAAGGTAATAATTGATATGTACTTATTTATTGCCATTTTTGTTTAGTGTGGTTATATATTTTTTCCTATTTCTTCTACTAATTACATCAAAGTCAAAAGCTTCTGCGCAGCAAAAAAACAACCACCAAAACGGAAAGGCAACCCGCTCTATAGGAGAGCATCATTGCCAATGATGCATCAGATAAGGGGTTAATTTCCAATATATATAGAGTGCTCATACAGCTCAACAAAAGGAAGACAAAGAACCCAATTAAAAAATGGTCAGAGGAACTAAATGGACACCTCTCCAAACAGGACATACAAATGGCTAAGGGACATATGAAGAAATGCTCAACATCACTAATCATCAGAGAGATGCAAATTAAAACAACAATGAAGTATCACCTCACACCTGTTAGAATGGCTGCCATCAACAAATCATCAAACAACAAGTATTGGCGAGGGTGTGGAGAAAAGGGGACTCTAGTACACTGCTGGTGGGAATGCAGACTGGTGCAACCACTATGGAAAACAATATGGTGTTACCTCAAAAAATTAAAAATTGAACTTCCATTTGACCCAGTGATCCCACTTTGAGGCCTATACCCTAAGAAGCCTGAAACACCAATCAGAAAGAATATATGTACCCCCATGTTCATAACAGCACTATTTACAATAGCTAAGATCTGGAGATAGCCCAAGTGTCCATCAGTAGACGAATGGATAACAAAGCTATGGTACATATACACAGTGGAGTACTATGCAGCGGTAAGAAAGAAAGATCTCTTATCCTTTGAGATGACATGGAGAGACCTGGAGCGTATTATCCTAAGTGAAACAAGCCAAGCAGAGAAAGACAAATATCATATGATCTCACTTATTTGTGGAATATAATGAACATAACAGTCTGAGGAATGGGGTAGTCCCAGAGATGTGGAAGTGGGGTACAGACTGACAATCCCCAGAAGAGGGGGTGGTGGGGGAGAGATAAACCACAGAACTTATATGCATGCATGAACAGTGGACATGGACAACAAAGCTGGGGATAAGTCGGGGAGGGAGGGGAAGGGGGTATCAGTGAGGGAAAAAGGAGAAACATCTGTAACAAAAATACATTAGTTAATTTATTTAAAAAAAAAAAATGGGAGAAACAAGTGCATGGCACTTGTTTGAATTTACTCCTGAAGTGAGTGAACTGTCTCTCATCCACTTAGGAAATATGAATTGGCACTTCAACTCAGTGTTTTTTGTGTATGTTAACATTCATTGTGTTTAAATCTAAGCAAATACAGATTAAATGGCAAAGTAAGAATTATTTACCTGAAGAAGTGTTTTTCTTTCTGATTTCTAGTCTACTCCCTTACATCTAGCCGCAGGCTACAACAGAGTCCGGATAGTTCAGCTGCTGCTTCAGCATGGTGCTGATGTTCATGCAAAAGACAAAGGGTAGGTGTATCAGTTTATTTCCTTTAATGGTTTTGCTCGGATTTTTATGCTTTGTTTTCAACATCTAAAATACTGAAGTTGTTGAGCACTAGGCAAAGAAAGTCATATAGACTATTTCTTTACAGCTTGTGTAGCATTTTAAGAATGTTTGCAACTTTGATTTTATTTTCATATACTACTTATTAAGGATGCTTCTCATAGTAATTTCCTAAATTAAGTTAATTTTATTGCAGTTCTGTTATTTGAAGAATTTAAAGTTTGTTTCTCACAATTGCAATCATTATTTTTCAACACAAGTTGCATTTCAGAAAGACAGATAAATTTAAAATTATGATAATCTATTAATATAGCTATTATATTCATCTGGTATGAAAGGATCATCTCTTACTAATAAACCAAAATCATAAGTACACAATATTCTAATTGTTTTTTTCCTGATGAAATCTTGGAAATCTGAACTGGGAAAACCTAAAGGATCCTCATGAAGGTTGATGTGGCAGAGGGTGGCGGGTTGTGGGGGACTAAGAGCAGTTGTGTCATTTACTTTGTGAGTAGGTGTATTTTGGAAAACTTTGTACCGGTTTCCTATCTAGTCTCCAGGGACATATGAATCAAGTCTGCTGTCCTATGTGATGGACTAACATTTCTCATTATCCGACCTTAAGATCTAAAAGATAATTTGACCTTACTACCCAGGTAAATAGATTCGTATTACCCTCTTGTGATTGGCAGCATAAAAAAGAGAAGCTCTGGAAGAAGGGTTTTGTTTTTTTTTCGCTTTGCCCCTTTTCATGTCAGGAAACATAGAAAGGAAGAAAGAACTCAGTACTTAAAACAATTATCAGAGGGGGAATCCATCCATTTCAAATCTGCTCTTTTCCGTGCTCTGTTTCTCTTTCCTGCGCCAGGTTTTATGCCCTGTGTGAATGGTGTCCCAGTAGTATAGGGGTACAAATGCCTGATGCTCTTGTACATCTCTGTTTCCTTATGCATGTCTGAAAACAGATGGGTGTACAGTAGGTGAGTCATCAAGAGAAGTACAGCACAAATAAGGGGGTCTTTGACTCATAGGAAGATACTTTGAAATGCAAGTTACAGTAGTTTGGATATTTAATTCTTAATTGGAAATTACTTTGAAAGTGAAACAGATGAGTAGGAATATTTCAATTCTCTATCAATTAACATTTATTTACTGTAGATAGTTGATACATAAAGCATGCAATTGTCAATTAGCAGATGTTCTTTGTTTTGCCTAAATGCTTCTCTAATTGGTGTTTTTATCATTATATTTAAAGATTATATACACAAAATACAAGGTAAATATGGAAGGTTAACATTGTGTTTTGAAAGATCTTATTAAAGACTTTAAAATATTTTTGTATTTGGATTTATTTGATTTTTGTTTCTTAGCACTTCTTGGATAAATGACTAAGTTGTTTGAAATTTCAGTATTTTAATTTGCCATTTTTCATTTAGTGGACTTGTGCCTCTTCATAATGCATGTTCATATGGACATTATGAAGTCACAGAACTGCTACTAAAGGTAAAAGAAATAAAAAATATTGAATTTCATTTGCTTTTTTTTAAACTTGTGATGAGTTTTCATGTATTTTTTAGTGAATAAGATTTTTAGGAGACTACAACAGGTTTTTAAAGTATTATCATTGCTTTAAAAATGTTTAAACATTCAGCTTATTTTAAACTTTTTAAAAGCTGAAATTAAAATAATTAAAACACTAGTTGACATTTCAAAGAGTTATAACTGAAATTTACAGTGAAATAAATGTGCTCTGAGTTTATCCGATCCAGCAGAATGATTACTGACCTAAACCTTTCTCCTCACATTAGCACGGAGCCTGTGTTAACGCTATGGATCTCTGGCAGTTTACTCCACTCCATGAGGCTGCTTCCAAGAACCGCGTAGAAGTCTGCTCGTTGTTGCTTAGCCACGGTGCTGACCCGACGTTGGTCAATTGCCATGGGAAAAGTGCTGTGGATATGGCTCCAACTCCTGAGCTCCGGGAGAGATTGACCTGTATGTGTTTGTACCCTGAAATCAATATTGTTTGTTGCAAATTAGAATACTTCACTTTTGTTTAGTTACTAGGGCTGGTGTTTTGTCTAACATAGATGATGTCCTTCCATTCATACACATACAGAAGTTGATAATCCTCATTTCTGATCATATACTTGTCTTCATGATTCCAGAGGAATCTGATATTCATATCCTATATATTTTTTTTTGTTTATTCAAGTCTAATTCTAATTCACAAGTTGAGGCTCTCTCCCTCTTTTTTTAAAGGATAAGTCAATCAATAACCATTTATTGAATACCTACTATGTGCCATGCACTGGAAATAACAGCAACATAAAACCAGAAAAAAAAATTTCTCAGCTCATTGAGCTTATATTCCTGTGCTGTTGGTAATAATATAATCTATTATTGTACAATCATGTTTATTTCTTTTATGTGTGTTATAGCCCAAGTGCAGTCACTTGCCACATTGACATACTTTTTATGATTTGGTGGAAGTAATCTGAAATACTAATACATATTATCTCTCTCTCTATATATATATATATACACACACACACACATTTTAAATATACTTTTTGTTTTAGAATAGTTTTAGATTTACAGAAAAGTTCCAGATATAGTACAGAGTTCTCATATACCCCATACCCAGTTTCTGCTATTATTAACAACTTACATTAATGTGGTACATTTGTCACAATTAACAAACCAATATAGATACATTATTAAATAAAGGCTATGGCCTTTATTACTCACATTTCCTTAATTTTTATCCAAAGTCTTTTTTCTTTCCCTGAATCACATTACATTTACTTGTCATTTCAAATATTGAGATATATTTAATTCTATATGTGGACATTTCAGTTTTAAATTGAACTAAGCATTACCTACCTAATTTTTAACTGGTCCTACGGTTGTTATTCTCTCTTACATCTGGGATGGTAAGAATCAGGAAATTGGATTTAAACGGCTGAGAAAAATCTTTAAATGATAACTTAAAAAGGGGGGGACATAGTCAAAATAATACTAACATCTTTTAAGTTTAAACAGATTTTAGACTAGTTTATGTTAAAACAGGAAGAGATCTTTTCCATTTTGATCTTGTTGAAGTGGCAATTTAAACTTATTTTGGTACTGGAAAAATGACATCTACTAGATTACAGGCCAGCGCAAACCAGATTGTAACTGAGCAGATGCCTTAGCAATAAATCCCTGTAGAAGTGCATTTATTCTCTCTCCCACTCAGGTGACTCTTGCCATATGTTGCCTTGCATTATATAGTTCACTTTCTATGTGTAGGTCTGTCTTCCCAGAGAAGTTTAAATTCTTAGAAAGACCTTTGGTTTTTTATATTCTGTTTTAGCACCTGCACAATGCCTTATTATTATTATTATTTTAATCCTCACCCTAAGATATTTTTCCATTTATCTTCAGATAGAGCAGGAGGGAGGAAGAGAGAGAGAAAGAAACATTGATGTGAGAGAGACATCGACTGGTTGCCACCTACATGACCCCAACCGGGGCCAGGGACAAACTGCAACCAAGGTAGGTGCCCTTAGCAGGAACCAAACCCAGGTCTCTCTGGTCCCAGGGCCAACACTCTAACCACTGAGCCAAACCAGCCAGGGCTATGTTATTTTTTTAATTGAAGTATAGTTGACATACAGTATTATATTAGTTTCAGGTGTATAACATTTACATACCTCATGATAGGATCACCATAATAAGTCTAGTAACCATCTATCACCATACAAAGTCATGACAATATTGTTGAGTATTTTCAAAATCATATAATATTTGTCTCTCTGACTTATTTCACTTTGCATCATATGTTCCAGCTTCCTTCATTTTGTCATAAATGCCAACATTTCATTCTTTTTTAATGGCTGAGTAATGTTCCAGTGTGTGTGTGTGTGTGTGTGTGTGTGTGTGTGTGTATACCACATCTTCTTTACCCAATGATCTGTTGTTAGTCTCCTAGGTTACGTCAGTATCTTGGCTTTTGTAAATAATGCTATAGTGAACATAGGGTGCATACATTTTTTTCAAATTAGTGTTTTTATTTCTTTCGATAAATACTCAGGTAAGAGGAATTGCTGGGTTGTATGGCAGTTCCACACTTTTTTGGGAAACCTCCATTCTGTTTTCAATAGTGGCTGCACCATGTTACAATCCCACCAACAATGCACAAGGGTCCCCTTTTCTCCACACTGTTGCCAATACTTGTGATTTGTTAACTATTTGATAATAGCTGTTCTGACAGTGTGAGGTTTTGATTTGCATTTCCCAGATGATTAATGATGTTGAGCATCTTTTTATGTCTGTTGGCCATCTGTGTGTGTTCAGAGAACAATTTTCAGCTTTTTGTTAATAAGTTGTCATATCAAAATACAAACCAAACTTATAAAATAGAAAAGAAGACTCTATGTTTTTAATAAATAAGAATATTTGGATCTTATTTGTGCAGTTAATTTAGAAATCCCTTTTTAAAAATCTCTTACTTGCTCATGCAAATAATAACAAATATTAATTGTTCTTTGAAAAATTTCAAATTCTGGCACTTCCCCCATAATTCATTTCTTCCTTTTCTGTGTCAAGACATAGTCACTATTAATATTTTGGTGAATAATTTTTTAACTGTCTATTTTATATCATTACTTCTTTTAGTTTGGGTAGCAACAGTAGTAAGAGTATAAAATAATTAGGTCAACTTATCCTTCCTCTTTTGTTACTTAAATTTTTATTTGATAACGCATACTTTCATGTCAGTAAATATACGCCTATCTTTGTATTTAAGAGCTATAAAGTATTTCAGTGTATAAGTATTCACAAATTATTTAACTGGTTTCCATTAGGTGGATAGTGAGGTGGCTTGTTTTAAAACTTTCCTGGAGTGAGTATATTTGTATGTGTATCTTTTTGAACTCTAAGAGTATAAAACAGTCTTATTTCAGAGCATACATAATTCATAATTTTTCATTAACCCTCATACTTCACACCTTTATCATCATATTGTCATGCTGCTGCTGTTGCTAAAATAGTTGGATGTGTAAAATTAAGAATTTTCTAATGTATAATGATGCTAATGATTTTTATAGATTTAAAATTTTTGTTCTGTCAACCATTGTTTTATTAACAGATGAATTTAAAGGTCATTCTTTACTACAAGCAGCCAGAGAAGCAGACCTAGCCAAAGTTAAAAAAACACTTGCCTTGGAAATCATTAATTTCAAACAACCACAGTCTCATGAAACTGCACTGGTAAGATTTTATTGTTAATCCATTCCATGGGTTGATAATAGGGGTGTGAGCACGAAATACGGTTTTTGTTTCTGAAATCTCAAAGTAACTGTGGTATCTGAAGTAACAGGGATTTGCATTTTAATGGTTGTATTGAATTTTAAATTTGGTTCTGGAGGCTATTGTTTTCATGGCGAGAAAATAAAATAGACTTTTGATCAACACTAATTTGGGAATTGTTTTATGTTTGTCTTTACACAACCATATTATAACAAGTACACCTTTGTGGCCAATACTTTCATAAATACAGGATGTGATTTTCTCTATAGAATCTACTTTCTCTGGTGGTTGCTAGATAAATATGATATTCGTTTTCTATAGAAGATTGTTGTATTTTCAAAAATACTTCAGTTATCCTTTTGAGCAATCATATTCATTTATTTTCTATAGAAAAGTAAAGTATTTTCAAAGATATTTGCATTATTCTTTTGAACAAGAGTATTAAAAGGATTATTACATTCATTATAGAAAATCAGACTGTGAATATTTTGTTCCAGACCGTACCAATTGTCTTTAAAACTATTCATGTTTTTCTTCCTAATGTACTTTTATAAAAACTAGTTTATTTTCATTGTCATTGACCACAGTAAGTTTTAGGTATAAGCCTGGTTAGATTACTCCTGAGTTCAGAATTTAAATATCTGTGATGCCTCGCCCTGGCTGGTTTGGCTCAGTGGTTGGAGCGTCGGCCTGTGGTCCAGAGAGATCCGGGTTCGGTTCCTGCTAAGGGCATGTACCTCAGTTGCAGTTTGTCCCCAGCCCTGGTTGGTTGTGCGTGTGGCAACCACTTGATGTGTCCCTTACACGTCGATGTTTCTCTCTCTCTTCCTCTCTCTCCCTCCCACTCTACCTGAACAAGGAATGGAAAAATGTCCTCGAGTGAGGATAAAAAAAAAGAAAAGAAAAAATATTTGTGATGCCTCTATCACAAACTTCTAAATATAATTCAGTTAACATTCTCTCATATATCTGGCACAAAAACAGTCAGGCTGTCAACACTACATGTGGAAACACTGAGTTAGCAAACTGAAATGGGCCAGTGGTATGTGCTCCTAAATACATGGCTCTCAAACTGGTGCCCAGGGACGGTCATGCCACACAGCATTGTGCCAGGAGACACTCAGTCACAGAATCAACCTGACCTGCTTTTTGGAGTGTTCATTTTATTCATTAGAAAATAGTTTTTTACTTTTTAAATTTTAATTCAAGTTTTAATATAAAATGAGATTGAATATAAAAGTTATATTAATATAGGATAAAACATAAAATTTCTCATACAACTGCTCCCTCTAAGCTCTTTGAGGTCTCTTACCTTCTTGCCTGTCCCTGGGCATAAAATCTTATTCTTCTGTAGTTCTAGGAGTACCTCTCTAGAAGAGTTTGAAAAATATTAATTTATGTGACTGACAGCCTAATGAAGAATTGAGAAATTTAAGTATAGGTTTTTGTAGCTTTGGAAAGGCAGTATTCTGATACCTGTAAGTAAATATAGACTGGATATCCATCTATTAGCTAAAGGAAAAGAAAAATGTCTTTCTTAATGCTTAACCAAGAACATAATTGCATTTTGTTGTCAGGCTTATGGTTTGTTCTTCCAGTGTATTTAGGAGGCATCTTGATCCTCTTCATAATGTAAAATATATGTGTATATTTTGAGAGAACAATCTTCTAAATAGTCAGCACATGCTTTTTAATTCAGAAATCCACTTTTAAATAGAAGTTTATTTTATTGACTTACTTTTATTTACTTTATAGCACTGTGCTGTGGCCTCCCTGCATCCCAAACGAAAACAAGTGACAGAATTGTTACTTAGAAAAGGAGCAAATGTTAATGAAAAAAATAAAGAGTAAGTGTAATTGCAGGAGTTGTTCAGTTCTTAAAGGGGAAATGCAATAAAAGTTAGTCATCTCCCTTTTCCTTTTCTCCTGTCAATAGTTTCATGACCCCACTGCATGTTGCAGCAGAAAGAGCTCACAATGATGTCATGGAAGTTCTGCATAAGCACGGAGCAAAGGTAAGGCACACACCTGAAGTAAAGTGCCAGGCTTGGCATTGAGTAGCTAGCTGCTCTTAAGAGTGTTAATTTCTTCAGGAAAATTAGAGAGAAAGTAATTTTATAAAGGACTGTTAGCACGTATTTGAATTCATTGATTTTCCTTTAAAGCAGGTGTAAATCTTGTTCTTTGTAAAAATAATTATTTGTGTTTTATTGTAATTTACTATTATTCTCCTATAAAGCAATAACATATAATCTTATCATTTGAAATACATTTCAACTTAACATTGTTTTATGTTAATACTGGAATTAATATATTTTATAGTCAACATCAGTGATAGTTTATCAGAAAATAATTTAGGTGAGTGATAGTCAAAATATCACTTATTTTAAAGAGCATCTATAATTCCTTCAAATTTGTAATGATGATAATTTTTTCAAATAACCTCAACACTAGAGAATTTTAATTTGTTAAAATACTAATCTTTGACCTGGCCATTTTGGCTCAGCAGTTAAGAGCATCAGCCCAAGGAACGAAGGGTCTCAGGTTTGATTCCCAGTCAAGGGCACGTGCCTGGGTTGCAGGTTCAATCCCCAGCTCTGGTCAGGATTGTGCAGGAGGCAACCAATCGATGTGTCTCTCACATTGATGTTTCACTCGCACTTGCTCTCTCTCTCCCCACCCCCCTGCTTTTCACTCTCTCTAAAAAAAAAATCAATGGAAAAATATCCTTGGGTGAGGATTAACCAAAAATAATAATAATAATAAAATACCAATCTTTAAGAATAAAGAAATTAAGATGTATTAATAGTTAACGCACAGATTGTTGCTGGCAACTTCATTAGGTCCATGTGTCGGCCTATCTGAGTCATGTCTGAGCCCAAGGTGTTTCCTAAGACAGAATGGGAATTTGAGAGGAGGAATTGACAGTGAAAAATGCACTCATCTGTTTACCTTCAGCAAGCTGTGACATATTGCACTTGACATGCATCCAAATCAGTAGGTTCATGGACATTATCTTAAACAGTAGAACCTTTATAAATACTGTTGTTGATAATCACAGGAATAACCATGGCAATCTTATAGCATAAAGAGGTTGTCTGGCTATTTCATGAATTATTATTTTCAGGAATTGTCATATTTAATGGTGTGCTTTTTGTTTTGGTACATGCCCCTAGCGGGAACCGAACCCAGAACTCTCTGGTCCACAGGCCGATGCTCCAATCGCTGAGCCAAATCGGCCAGGCAATGTTGTGGGTTTTATTTAAATGAAAATAAGAGAGTTATTATTTTGCTGATAGTAGTTGTTTGTTGCTATTACTTGTATGTAGGTACTTTTTTAGAAAAAGAACCATAATCAGGTCCCTAAAGGTAAGCTACATATTTTAAAGTGAATAACAAAATAACTGAGTTTTAAAAGAAACTTCTAAAAGTGAAGATATTTTAAAAATAATTTTTGAGAAAATGTCCACTGTTTATTTTGTTCCCCCCAAAATGATGTAAATATATCACCCAGCTGTTGTATCTACATAATTTAAAAACCTGAAAACAGAAATTTCTAAACTGCTTTAAAAGTCTCCCTTATTTCTGTTTAAATATTTTTAATCTATTAATAACATTTTAATGCAACATCTCTTAATGAATTTGTAAGGACATCAAGAAAGATGCAATTTTCCTAGCAGAATTTCAATTAAAACTTTAGCATAATTATTAAATTACATGAAAAATAAGCAATGTGAATTTTAAAGGCATACACTTTTTTCGGTGGTTCTGTATATTTGTGTAGAGCCTTTTTAGCATTGGGACCAACTGTTGAAAATGAAAATGTAGAATCAGACCCTCAAGTCTACATCACAATTTTTTATAAGATTTTCCAGTTTTTTAAATTGAGCCTAAAGATAATTTAGGCTCAATTTGTAATTTAAATATTTTTAAATATGTAATTGTTTTATCCCTTTTCCATTCTTTCTCACTTCTCTTTTTATACAGGTTTTATACATATTTATTATGTATTAGTATAGCACTGCTTGGTTGTAATTTACAGATGAGCACGTGTACATTTTTTATTCATGAGGTTCATGATCCAAAAATTTGGATATCCTTGCATTAAAAAGACAATTGTCATTTTTAATATAAAAATCAAGATGAGCTGGAATGAAAGGGAATGGAGTTCTACAGATTTATATCTGTTTTGCGGGTATCACACTGCACTGTTATATAAATAATGTCTTGTTGCTTTTCAAGCAGAAAATACTAAGCTAAATGGGCTTTCTGCTACACTTAAGAGCATCATATGTTTATCACTGACTTATTTTTTAAATATCTTATGTCATGTATAATGTTCTTGAAAAACCATGAATAATACTCTTCATTTTCAGAAAATATCTATTTGTTGTCTCCCATGAGTCATTTTATTTGACGGTTCAGTGAAAAATAACATTATTTTATAACCTATCCTAGTCAGCATTACTCTAGGTCTGTGGCTCTCAATCTTTGTCTGTCCTTCATGTTCACAATACATTCTCATCAGTTATGTCAAAATTCAGCAGTAGGGCATGTATTATTCTAAACACCCTGGCAGTGATGTAGAATGACTTTTAAACTAGTATATTCTCCCTAGTCTTTCCACTACAGTTCAACCAAATTGAGAATACCTGCTATTCGGTACATAAAAGGTGGGGGGGAGGGGGGGGAGTCATATTTAATTGGGGTTATGAACCAATAGATACCAATTGCCATCCTTCCATTCACTCAGTCCCTGGTTGCAAGACCGGCTGCTGTCCCTTAGGCTTGGTTTATCTGGTGACTAATGCATTAGTAGAAACCCAACTTAGCTACTGTGGGCCCCAGTGTTTGCTACCTTAGTGTTCTTTCTGGGGAACTAGGGGTTTCAGTTTGATTTTCAGACAACTCATGGCTTCCTATTTGATTCTAAAGACACCTTCAGAGCAAACAGCACCAGCCTTGAATGAGGAGTCTGCCCTCTCCACAGCTTCCACCTCTGCTGCTTTCTCTTCGTGAGGAGTCCCGTTCCCAAGCTAAGGCTGTGCAGTCAGCGGGGGCAGAGAACTGGGCAGGGAGATTTACTGCCAGTAAATTTGTTTTACTCAGATGGAACTTAGTAACAGTTATATAAGCCAGAGCATTCTTTTGCTCAAAGCTTTGTGATAGAAACAAAGTTCGGTACTTTGTGGGTGTTTAAGTAAACATACTGTATAATGTAACATAGGCCTACTTTTGCGCTTAGAATCCTCCACTTTCTAGTTTTGTGAACTTGGATTTAATTTCCTAAACCTTAGTTGACTCACTGGTGATAATCTGGGTAATAATACCTCTCCTGCAAGGTTTTTTTTTGTAATTAAATGAGCTTATGGATATAAGTATGTAGTATAGTACCTGACACACGAGCAATATTTTGATTACTAGTAAATATGAGCATTGTATTTTTTCCATATTTGTTTTTCAAACTTATATACTATATAGTCCCTTAATTATCTGACATTTTATGTAAAACTTATACATCTCATTCCTTTATAATTTTTTAATCCATTAATGCAACAAATACTGAAGTATAAAATGATCAAGACTGTGTGCTGCATACAGAGGAAAATACCAGTTTGGAAGTTAATGCAGTTTCCAGACTTGAAGCTAACCCTAAACCAATTTAGCTTCTCCTTAGTAAAGAAGAAGGAAGAGATAAAGCCACTTGTGAAGGAAAAATTATTTGCTTGGAAATGAACTGGGTGTTTGAATGGACTTAGAACATGATCGTACAAATAATGGAAGTAAGAAGGCTAGAGAGAAATACCGGTTTCCTATGCCATGATAATGATTTTGTATTTGGAGTTAATATGACAGATAAGCAATTTTCAGCCTGTTTCATCCCATGGCACACACAAACTAATTACTAAAATTCTGTGGCACACCAAAAAATATGTTTTTCCTGATCTGACAAAACAAGTATGATTTTGATTCATTCACACCAGACGGCTATTATTCTGTTGGTTGTTGTCATTTTTTTAGTTGACAGTCTAAGGGAAAAGAGGTCAGTGCCCCTAACTAAATAGTCAGGTAGTGCATGTTTTAAAACTCTTGTGGCTCACCAGTTGAAAATCGCTGTGATGGAGGGACATTTAGATAAAAACTAGTGGTTGGAAATATAGTACTACAATATAAATGAGAGTTTAGGATTAGAAATACCCATTGGGCAGCCATCAACTAGTGATCATACATTGTGGGACTGAGTTGTTCTTCTGATAGAGAAAATATGGAGAGGTAAATTGAGAGCAAAGGAAAGAACTTTGCAGACTCCCCATATTCATAGAACAGTATTGGGAAGAGGAAACGGAAGCTCTATCACAGTATCTGTTGAATGAAATAGGAGTGTGAAGAAAGAACGGGATCAGTGCTACAGAGAGGAAGCAAGGTAGACAGTGACATTTAATTTGGCAATTTTCATGGAAGGGCTTTGGTAGCTTTGTAAGGAGGCGTTCCAAAGATATTGAGGCAGAGAAATAAATCAGTTAAGGTCTTGGCAATAAACAGCACACTCAAAGAGGATAATTTGAGGAAAGTTTCAAAAAGAAATTATATGCAAAGGTGTGAGCAAGGCTTAAGGAAATCAGGAAGGGATGAGATAGTACTGGCAGCAAGTGGGGAGATGTTGTCATCCGTGGGCCTGAAGGGGCAGGGAAAGGAAGAGGTCACCAGAATGAGAAGCGGGAATAGCTATGTGGAGAAGTCCACCCGGCAGCACCTGCAGCTTTTAGTAGACGGTACATCTGCTCCTGCCATTGCTTCCCATTTACTAAATACAACACAAAGGTAAAGACCGCAAGATCCAAACGGGGTGATTCATATAATGATTTTCCCAGGACACAGAGCAGAGTGGAGGATGGATATGGATTCAGAGAGGGCAAGCAGGCAATATTCAGCAAAAGGAAAGAAAACAAATGACTAGCAAGGAAAGGGTGAATATAAGAAAATGGGGATATAACCAACTAGTGTGAGAAATCCA